AGAGAAACCAAACATATTCACATTTGCATCATAGAGGAACATCTAGGTCTTCAAGTGTAAGAAAGTGGTCGGCATCATTTCCAGCCCTCAAGATTTCCCCGCCGATGGCCGAGTTCTCCGGCAAAGTCGAGAAATTGTCACGGTTAGCCTCACCGACGAAGTCCTCTTCGAGGCAAAGAAATTCGTCGGGATTAAACCCACATTCGTGAAGGTCGTAGAGCATGACCTCCTCTCCTGAGCTTCCACCGCCGTTGGCCGAGTTTTCCGGCAAAGTCAAGAAACAGTCACTTCCATTGTCACCGCCACAGTTCTTGAATAGACTAAGAAATTCGTCAGGATCAAATGTGCATTCCTCAAGTTCGCAGAGCATTGACTCGTCTCCCGAGATGGCCGAGTTTTCCGGCAAAGTCAACATATTGTTGTGGTCACCGTCACCTACGCAGTCCCCAAACAGATTAAGAATGTCGTCCGGATTAATTCCGCAACCCTCAAGATCAGAGTGCGTAGCGGTGGAGTCCACTCCCAAACTTCCTCCGGCGGCAGCTGACTTCTCTGGCGAAGTCAAGAAAGTGTGTCCATCACCGTCGCAGAGGCAATCCTCAAAGAGAGCCGGGCAACGAGCTTTAAAACCCTCCAAAACCAAATCTATCTCTTGATCGCTCAAATTTTCGGAATTACAACCAACCCCTGTTCCGGAATCGGCACTGGCACTAATGTTTACAGATGAATTCTTCTCCAGATCTTCCAACCTTTTGCGCACAAGATCACGAGCTGCCTCATACTTCGCGATCAGGGACTCCACGTCCTCCTCAGTCGCGCTAGATTCCCACTCGCTCTCAATCCACTCCAGCCACTCGGCCAGACCCATCGGCGGCGCCACACCGCTACCGCCACAAATGTACTCCGATATTACCTCCTCAGCGGAGGGGTCGCCGAAGGAACAGAGCTTGCCAGCCGGGGAGAAGACAATGACGGCAACACGAGCGCCGCAGAGCGTGCAGAGATCGGAGGCCTTCTTGAAGAGGCCCTTGCGCCTTTTCGAGTACGTCACAAGCCGCTTGGCCGGATCGGCGATCTTGGCGATTTCTGTTCGCCGACGCTTACCCATTGACGATGTGTTTTCGCAAATTACTTTCACTCAGAGAGATAGAGAGAGCCGCACGGGTTCAAAGATTTGCAGGAAATTTTGGTTCTCTGAGAAAGAGCTTTGTGGGTTTCTTCTGGGGTTTCTCGGAGCGAGAGAGATGGTGGGTTTTTCTCTGAGGTTCCTTCGAGCGAGCTAGAGAGAGAGACAATCTGGGTGCAAAGATTTGCAAGAATCTGGGTTCTCTGAGAGAGAACTTTCGTGGGTTTCTTCTGGGGTTTCTTCGAGCGAGCTACTGAGAGAGAGAGAGAGAGAGAGCCGCGCGGGTGCAAAGATTTGCAGGAATCTGGGTTCTCTGAGAGAGACCTTTCGTGGGTTTTCCTGGGGTTCCTCGGTGGGTTTCTTGACGGGTTCCTTCGAGCGAGCTACAGAGACAGAGAGAGACAGAGACAGAGGAAGGGAGAAGAGAGGAAGGGAGAGATGATGAAGTTTGAAGTTGCAGAGGAGGAGGGAGGGAGGAAGAATCCAACGGGAAAATCTTCTTATGTAGGGCATCGGGTCCGTTGGAAAACTTTTGCGAAATTCCGATTTTTGGTCCTCTTAACTTTTGTAAATTTTCAGATTGGTCCCTCGAACATTTTATTTGTGTCGATTAAATACTCCAAGTTTTCCATGATTATTTGTGTAATTGGCGATTTTGTCCGACGGATTCCTTTTACCATTAACGACAATATGAAACCTATTTAAATTAAATAAGTAAACACATCGCTTTACATTATAAAAATTCAATTTTTAAAGTAGATGAGTAATGACATTGCTCTAAATTATAGAAATTCAATTTAACATTAGACAAGGTAAAAAAAAGGAAAAAATGCATTGAGAGCTTAAACGAGAGAAGCTTAAGTTTTTATAAATGTGTTCGTCCGTTTGTTAACATTTATTCTCTGATTTTTTTTTTCTTTTTACTCTCTTCAAATACTTGAAAACATAAAATTAAAAAAAAAAAACCCTCAAAATATATGACATGCTATATCGTGAGCAATTTCTTAAGTGTTTAGTATTTCGTGTAAAATAGTTATGACAGTTGCAACATTTGATTATAGGACCAATTTTTTTTGAAAATAAAGATCACTTTATATAAACATAAAAAGAAAATAACGACCTCATCTTGTTGGGGGAAAAAAGAAGAATCAAATCATACAAATCACTTCCGTTACAATCCGACAAAAAAATTGACATTGAGAAAAAATGGGTGTTGGCCCAAAACAACTAAATAAAACTAGAATTAGTCATTATCTAATATATATATCGAGTCAAAACTAGAATTTGGCGTCAACCAAGACATGTGAGTCACGCATGAACATAAAAATAAAAATTTTGCATGTGAGTCATGCGTGTTAAAGTTGTAAGACGGATTTTTTTTTTTTTCGGCCTGACCAAGACAGACATTTGAGTAGGCGAATTTTTGGCAAATTTTGGTCTAGCTGTGAAATGATGAGCTCGCTCATATGAGAAAAACATAAGCGAATATATTGTGCAGGTTTCACCAGCGGGTGGCGCGGTAGACCGTACGAATTGTAATGTAAAATGTGTACAGAATTTGTAGCACGACCCAATGTAAGTCTCACAAATTATTGAAATGGGATCGACTTGATCTAATGATAATGAAATTTAGAGGACCAAAAAAAATTAGGGTTAATACCACGGAAAAGCCCAAACTGGTACACCTGTGGCAATTTTACCCCGAACTAATTTTTTGATAATAAAAAACCCCACACTGTTACACTTGTGACAATTTTACACCGAACTAATTTTTTGACCACAAAAAATCCCAAACTGATACATTTGTGATAAATTTATTATCCGTTGGTATCCGTTAAATTGGATTAATATCACGAAAAACTACGAATTGATAAACTTGTGACAAACAAAGGAGTAAAACCCCCAACTAGTACGCCCGTCAACTATCACGTATCATCAAACTTAGCAAATTGACAGTAAAATTTAACAGAAACTCACGAAGGGTAAATTTGTCACAGGTGTACCAGTTTAGGGTTTTTGGTGGTCAAAAAATTAGTTCGGGGTAAAATTGTCACAGGCGTACCCGTACGGGGTTTTTGGTGATCAAAAAAATATTTCGGGATAAAATTATCAAAGATGTACCAGTTTGGGGGGTTTTTCGTGATCAAAAGAATAGTTCTGGATAAATTCATCACAGATCTACCAGTTTGAAATTTTTTTGTGGTATTAACCCAAAAAAATAAACCTCATTAATAGGTATGAATTTACTAATGTTATGTCTAGAATCTATATCTTTTCCCGCGTGAAAATGTTTTCGGTAGAATCGTTTTATTTTACGCGAAAATAAAAAAAAAAACCCGAAAATATCTTTCGTACCCGAACCAGCTTCCGGGTCGGATTACCGAGAGTCCCCAAGGAAACGTTTATACGACGTTTAACAAGAATTAGCTTCGACCGCGGGTAAAACACACCCATTCTTATACAGTGATGTTGATGCACCACGATAAGGGGACACTTTTAACGCGACAACCCAGACCTTGACCCTTTCCCACATTGACACCATCACAAGCCTCGGCAATTACGACAAGACTACATTGTCGTGTTTGAACGGGTGCAGGCACTATTCGTTAACAAGATCTTTGTGATATATAATCAATAGGTCTCTAGCATTTGTCGAGATCGCGCCTACACAAGCCCAAACGCTCGATATAACCATTTCTAGTTAACCGGCGAATTCCCAATACGAGGAAAAAAACCGGCCCTCGGATTATCAAACTACTGCAATCGCAACAACGAATAGAGAGAAGATTTGGCGGAAGGAGAGCAAGGTGGGGACTTTCAGACAAACTCATTTATACATGCATCTCACTTAATCGATTGCATCAGCATCAATTCCCGCGTCGGTTGAAAACTTTGGGAATTTCTAACTTTTTGGTCCTCTTGAACTTATGTAGATTGTCAAATGTGGCTACCAAAAAGAATAAGAAGAAGAAGAAAATATTACAGCAAATTCACCAACAATCCTCTGCAAAATACTGATCAGTCCACCAGGTCTAATAGATCAAAAGTAATCGCCCCAAGATCCTCATTCAAAGTCAGAAAAGCACATGCTAACCCAAATATGGAAAACGATAGAATACAGTCAACAAGTCAACCAAAGATCAGGCTGGTGACCTGATAAAGCAGAGTATACCAAACGCTAAATACTGAGTTTTCTGCAGTATGCCAAACAAAAGTCCGCAACCCGTATACAGGAAAATCTCACTCGCTGAACGGGAAATTAAATTGCCAAGCAGCTGAAGACGAAATCGCATCGGCACATTTCGGGATGTTCTAAATTCATTCCAGGACAGAGGCGACCGATGTGCAGATGCGTGCCGCGTAATCTTATTCCCGCAGATAAAGTTCAAGCATCAAGAATACGATCCCTGTTGTTTAGAAGATCACATCCTCATCTCGTTCATGCAGCTTACAGTATCAGCATGTATAGTCGTCGTCCGAGTTTAAATAATCCTTGCCGACGTACAAAGGCAAAAAGATGAAACATAATCAAATGAAACTAATGTTGTGATCATCCCGTCGATCATCTCCTGGCCCGGTAACAAGAAAGCCACACAAATAGGGTGAATGTAAGGGTTGAAAAAAGCCTGCGAGCCAGAAAGGCTGACCGCTGATAATACAAAGAGTCTGATAGCCAGAATTACTAAGACTCAATGCCAAAATGCTGCATGAAAAACATGGTTTACACACCAACTAAAAGGAGTTAACCAAAATTGCTCGACCACTTAGACCTATTTGTTCAGAATGTTAGCAGACTTTTTCATCAAGAACATCGTTGAAAGAAAGGTCTATGATGTGCAATGAGAGCAGTTGGAAAAAAAAAAAGTGTTCATACCAGGAAGAACTCAACAATGGCAGCACTACGAATTCTTTTTTGCTTCTGCATCATGATTTCTCCAAGGATTAAGAGCTTCTCTTACGGCCTGAGCTTCCGGCGAATTCTCCCAAGCCCACTTCTCCAACTCCAATAGTCACTTTTATCATCTGCAACATACAAGCACCAAAATCTTTCTTAAAATATACAACTTTCAATGATGTACCTTGGTTGATCCCTTGAAAGACAGACCCTTTGGTAGCAAAATAAGCAACCAATGGCACAGGAAAGAACCTGATAATCTCCGTCATGAAGATGCTTATGAGAGTATAGGTAGCTATGAAGGCAAGGCAAACAAGCAAACAACATTCTCCCAATCTTTTGTATATACCAGAGTCCATTCAGAAAAATGCAAGTGAGGAAAGCTCGTCTGTCTTCAGCAAGATCACATATGAATTGCAAATATAACAGGCCTACAAATCACAGCATTGCATTGCGTTCCTTCCCAAATTTAACCTCTTTCATATTCCTTACCAAATAGCCGCAGAACGATCTGCTCGATGCTCTCTTGAGACGTGCATCACTGTTGTAAGTTCAGTTTTAAACCATTATCTCCAAAACTATTTTCAGAAGTTTCTCCCACAGAAGTCATCAATGAACTGATGTTAGTCGCATAAACTATTCGTTCTCCACAGACAGCGGAATGCTTCGCATTCATTGGCATTGCCATTCATCATCCGAGACAACATTTTTTTAGCATTATGCTTCTCATGTAGAACAGCAAGAACGTTCAGATCATCCCCATAATAGACAGTCCAAATCAAAGCCCTCCCCTCCTCTTTCACAAGCTAGCGACAGAGACATACCACTGAAATCATGAATTTATATCCTATCCCCAACTTCAACCATAAAGCAACTGACTAAATGATGGTTTTCTCATTCGAAGAGAGACAAATTTGAACACGACCCATCACCGTAACATCTGCTCCCATTTGACTAAAACACAATAGCTGCCGCACTAACATTGCTCGCAAGCTTTAAGGCAAGGTCTATTAGATAAAAATGATTTCAACTGCTTAATAGTGCCTAAAACTTTTTGATTTTGGAGTCATGTCGCACCATTTTTTTGGGTACGAGCTACCCAACAAAGAAGCGGAAAAAGTTGAAACAAAAAATTGTAGGAACAGGCAAAAAAAGGAACGAAAAAGAAATGGAGGGTTCTCACAGCAAAGCCGTTCTTGATCATGAACAAGTCCATGGAGCCTCCGACGAGAGCTGGGAAGACCACGATCTTCACGTACCAATCCAATAACTTCACCCCCATATTGAAGCGGCTCAAACATTCGCAGCAGCAGCTGAAAGATGGAAAACAAAAGAAAAGGCGGAAAGGCAAAAGGAAAGTTTTTGCCGGGCCAACACAGCCCGACCATTTCCTTTAAAGAAAGCTTTTTTAGCTGTTGGGTCCAAGAACTTGGGCACTTATGGTGCAGCCCATGGCATCTTTATGTCAATCTTTTCTTTTCATTTTTCATTGCATGAATGAGGGCTGATGCTTATTACAGAGTCTAACATGAGCACAAGAGCTTCATCCAGGGTGATTCTGCTACACAGTCATGCTGTGGATGACTAGGAATCAAACCTTCTAAGAGAAGAACCGATACGGCAAGAGCTTGTCATGGCATGCATAAGCTCTTCTAGGAGTATTTCTGCTTGGCAATGACATTTGATGCTCAATCCGATCTACATTTAGGACAGAGATTCGAGCTCTACAATCCCGGAACTGCTCGAGTTTCCGCAAAATCCAACAAACACTTATTAGCAACTAGCAAGCAGAGTGTCTATCTTGAAGGTGACAGCTCGTTTGTTATTAAGCCTCTGATCAATCTGGAAACACCTCCTGCTTGAAGTGAAGATTCTTGAACTCGGTCAAATCGAGAAGCTCTTGGCGAGATCGAATGCTGGGGACTCTCAAATCAACTCCATGATCAGCTAATCTTATCTCGCAAAATCCTGCCCACCTAATATCACCAGTCACACTTACCCTTTTCATTTATTCGTTTTTGCAGCGAAAGAAAATGACTGCATCTGAGGTAGTGTCATTAAAGCACTAAAGAAGCAACACTTTGACCACAAATCCACAGAACGTTGAACAAGCACCCTAAGCATCGTAATGCCAGGGACTAGCCAATTCCTAGCACGATAGCGTCTAATCAGTCTTGCAAAGCATCTACTGAGCACAAAAGAGAAGGACTTCAACATCTGTGCAGTTCTAGGGATTGACATCTGCTTTCTTGTCTCTGTCAATAAGCTCCATCATAGATTCACATCTTATATCAGGATTAGTGAGATTATCCAACAATGCAACTTAGGAAGGACGAAGCGACGGTTCAACTTTAGTTATGGAGCGAAGCATCTGCAATGTTATTGAATATACTTCCATTCATTTAACCTTTTGCTTAGGCTATATTGTATATCAAGTGTTTCAGGATCTCAATCATGATCTTATCTAATGGACGTTCATGAGGCCCTCTTCCCATTGCAGTCCCTGAACCTCTTGTGCCAATTCTTCTTCCTCTATAAACTCGAATCCCAAAAGCGAACAGAAACTGTGGTCAGCCAACAGAACCATAAGTGAACACAAAACTTATCAGAAAGCATCATAAAAGTAAGTTAAGCATATCAATGGCCACAACAAATGCAAATATGGATGAAAATGTTCCTGCTTCAACAGGGTTGGATTTTATCTAGTTTGGAAAAGCTTTCCACCTTATTATGTGAGACCACAAGTCACTATGCGTTCCTTTATGGAAACTAATTGCATCAAATTACAATATGCAAATTCAAAATGTATATAATAAAATTGGATTCCACATTATACTACTGACCTTCGAGGACGATTCTGTGTGAGGAGGAGATTTTTATCCAGCTCATTGTCGTAACATTCGTAACGTTGCATAAGTACCTGTAAATAAATCCAGCCTCAGCATGGAATTGATTTGTCATCCCAATTAGGAACTTCCGAAGTAGGAGACAGACGAGAATTGCAAAATAGCGATACATAGCTTACCTGCATTTCCTTTTGTCTATAAGCATAATGCTGCATGTTTACGCTTGGACTCCTCAAGATCGGCCAACCAGATTCGTCGTCGTTCCATTCACTTCTTCCTCTAGACTCGCGATTTTTTGGCCTACTTTGACATGGACCAGGTCTTCCCTTTCTTTCCTCTCCTCCCACTACACCATTCAAATCTGATCACAGTTCATCGAAATTGCACAGTTTCCTTTTGGATATGCAAATAATGAGTCTCAAAATCCACACCCAGCCCCATTACAGGGGAAAAAGGAATGAAGGGAATCGCATATGCTTCTGAAGCCGCACCAGCACACGATCCGGGTTTAGTGTTGACAACATCACTTGAGAATCGTGGTCATACTTCCGCCGATTACTGCTCAAACAGCTTTGCTTCCATACAAACTTTTTTGTGTTGACATTTGATCTTCAGTTAGTATATTCAATGTTTAAAAATTATAATGCACCATGCATCCAGTCATCTTGTTGGTACGATAATATATTAGGTTTTGGCTTGATTGAGATCATGTCTTTAAGTAGTTTTTAAACTCTACCCTCAACAGTTAGAAAAAATGATTGAATTCCATCGATCAAGGAAGTGAAAAAGAAAGAAATAGAGAGAGCCAATGCCATTAAACCAGTGAACTGGAAAAAGAGATTGTATTATGTACAATGCAGTTTTACAAGAAAAACCACATATATTCATATCTACATCACAGAGGAACATCCAGATCTTCAAGTGTAAAAAAGTGGTCGGATCATATCCAGCCATCAAGATATTAGAGCATCAACTCCTCTCCCAAGCTTCCACCGCCGATGGCCCAGTTCTCTGGCAAAGTAAAGAAATTGTCACGGTCACGGTCACCAACGAAGTCCTCATCGAGGCAAAGAAATTCGTTAGGATTAAATCCACACTCCTCAAGGTCGCAGAGCATCAACACCTCTTTCGAGCTTTCACCACCAACGGCCGAGTTTTTCGGCAAAGTCAAGAAATTATCACGGTCACGGTCACTGACAAAGTCCTGTTTTTCCGCCGCCGGCGAAAGCACCCGCTCTGATCTTGAGGGGTAGGGATTTAATCCAGACAACTTTCTTAATCTGTTTGGGAATTGCGTTGGTGACGGTGACCACGACAATTTCTTGACTTTGCCGGAAAACTAGGCCATCGGCGGTGGAATCTCGGGAGAGGAGTCGATGCTCTGCGACCTTGAGAAGTGTGGATTTAATCCTGACGAATTTCTTTGCCTCGAAGAGGACTTCGTCGGTGACCGTGACCGTGACAATTTCTTGACTTTGCCGGAGAAATCCGCCATCGGCGGTGGAAGCTCGGGAGAGGAGTTTTCTGCAGTATGCCAACAAAAATGTAGTTTTTTGGATGATGATGAGGGGATGTACATAAAGAAAATTCCGGATGTGGAACCCCTATACAGGAAAATCTCACTCGCTGAACAGGAAATTAATTGCCAAGCAGCCAAAGACGAAATCGCATCAACACATTTCAGGATGTTCTAAATTCATTCCAGGACAGAGGAGTCTGCTGTGCAGATGCGTCCGGCATAATTTTGAATTCATCTTCCTGAAGACACATTTCAAGCATCAAGAATACGATCCCTGTTGTTTAGAAGTTCACTTCCTCGTCTCGCTCCTGCAGCTTATAGTATCGGCATGTATAGTCGTCCGAGTTTAAATAATCCTTGCCGACGTATGAAGGCGAAAAGATTAAACATAATCAGATAAACTTATGTTGCGATCATCCCGTCGGTCGTCCCTCAGCCCTGTTAACAAGAAAGCCACAAAATGGGCTAATGTAAGGGTCGAAATAAGCTTGCGGGCCAGAAAGGCTGACCACTGATAATACAAAAGTCTAACAGCCAGAATTATTAAGACCCATAGCCATAATGTTGCATGAAGAACAGGGTTTACACACTAACTAAAAGGAGATAAGCAAAATTGCTCGACCACTTAGACCTCTTTGTTCTGAATGTTATCAGATTTTTTCAACAAGAACATTGTCGAAAGAAAGGTCTAGTGATGTGCAATGAGAGCAGTCGGAAAAGAAAAGATCGTACCAGGAATAGCTCAACAATGGAAGCACTATGAATTATTTTTGCTTCTGCATCATGATTCCTCCAAGGATTAAGAGCTTCTCTTACAGCCTGAGCTTCTGCCGAATTCTCCCGAGCCCGCTTCTCTGACTCCAATACAGTCACTTTATCATTTGCAACATACAAGCACTGTAAATCTTTCTTAAATATAATGCTTTCAATGATGGAACTTGGTCGATCCCTTGAAAGCTAGACCCTTTGGTAGCAAAATGACCAACCAATGGCACGGGAAAGAACCTGATCATCTTCGTCATGAAGATGCTTATGAGAGCATAGGTAGTTATCAAGGCAAACAAGCAAACAACATTCTCCAAATCTTTTGTCTATACCAAAATCCATTCAGAAAGATGCAAGCGAGGAAAGCTCGTCTGTCTTCAACAAGATCACAAATGAATCGCAAACATATAGGCCTTTCAATTACCACATTCAATTGCGTGTTCCTTCACAAGTTTAACCTCTTTCATATTCCTTACGAAATAGCTGCAGAACAATCAGCTCCATGTTCTCTTGAGACGTGCACCGCTGTCGTAAGTTCCGTTTTAAAACCACTATCTCGACAACTATCTTTCAGAAGTTTCTCCCACAGAAGTCATCGATGAACAGACAGATATTAGTTGCATAAACTATCCTTTCTTTCTCCACAGACAGCGGAACGCTTCGCATTCATTGGCATCACCATTCATCATCCAAAACAACATTTTTTCGCATTTTACTTCTCGTGTAGAACGGGGGGAACGTTCAGTTCAGCGCCACAATAGACAGTCCAAATCAGAGCCCTCCTCTTTCACAAGCTACCAACAGAGACATACCACTGAAATCATGAATTTCCATCCTACCCCCAATTTCATCCACAAAGCAACCGGCTAAATGGTGCCTCCTCCATCCGAAGAGAGACAAACTCGAACACGACCCATCACCGTAAAATCTGCTCCCATTCGACTAAACACAATAGCTGCCGCACTAACATCGCTCGAAAGCTTTAAAGCAAGATTTTTTTTTAGATAGAAGTGATTTCAACTGCTTGATAATGACTAAAACTGCCGATTTCGGAGTCATTGTCGCGCCATCTTTTTGGCTACAAGCTACCCAACAAAGAAGCGGAAAAAGTTAAAACAAAGAATTGCAGGAACAGGCAAAGAAGGAACTAAAAAGAAAAGGAAAGTCCTCACACAGAAGCCGGTCTTGATCATGAACAACTCCATGGAGCCGCCGACGAGAGCTGAGAAGACCGCGATCTTTCACGTACCAATCCAGAAACTTCAACCCCATATCGAAGCTTGCTCAAGCGTCTCTGCGGCAGCGGCTGAAAAGATGGAAAACGAAAGAAAAGGCCAAAAGGAAGAGGAAAGTTTGTGCGTGCCGGGCCCACACAGCCCGAACATTTCCTTAAAAGAAAGCTTTTTTAGCTGTTGGGTCCAAGAACTGGGCCTTTGGCCACTTATGGTGCAGCTCGTGGCATCTATATGCAATCTTTTCTTTTGTTTTTTCCTTGCATGAACAAGGGCTGATGCTTATTACAGAGTCTAATGGCAGCACAAGGACTTCATCCTGGGTGAGTCTGCTGCATGTCATGCTGTGGATGACTAGGAATCAAACCTTCTAAGAGAAGAACCCATATGGCAAAAGCTTGACCCGGCATGCATAAGCTCTTCTCGGAGTATTTCCGCTGGTCAATGACATTCTCTGTGGAGCTCGACGATTCCGGAACTGCTCGAGTTTCGGCAAAATTCCATGAACACTTCTTAGCAACTAGCAAGCACAGTGTCTGTCTATCTTGAAGGTGATAGCTTGTCTGTTATCGAACCTATCTTTGTTGTTTTGCACAGGAATGTTCATTCTATTTCTTCTTTTTTCTCTAGATTCATGACTTCAAATCTCAAGCAATTTCATCATAGCAGCACCATGATCTTTTATCAGACGTCTTCATCAAGAGCACGGTTTTACAGAAAGTTCAATTGTTGGACAATGAGAGCAATTCGAGAAAAAATCGTACCAGGAATAACTCAACAATGGCAGCACTATGAATTCGTTTTTTGCTTCTGCATCATGATTTCTCCAAGGATTAAGAGCTTCTCTTACAGCCTGAGCAAGCGAATTGTCCCAAGCCCACTTCTCTGACTCCAATCCAGTCACTTTATCATCTGCAACAGGGAAGCACCATAATCTTTCTTAAAATATCATACGATTATTGTTAGAACTTGGTCCCTTGAGAGACAGACCCTTTGGTAGCAAACTAAGCAACCATTGGCACAAGAAACAGAACCTAAGATGCCTATGAGAGTATAGGTAGAGAATGCAAGGCAAGCAAACAACATCCTCCCAATCTTTTGTCTATACCAAAGTCCATTCAGAAAGATGCAAGTGGGGAAATATCGTCTGTCTTCAGCAAGATCACAAATGAATTGCAAATATACAGGCCTACCAATACTGCATTCAATTCTGTTCCTTCACAAATTTAACCTCTTTCATATTCCTTACGAAAAAGCTGCCGAACAATCCGCTCAATGTTCTCTTGAGACGCACACACCCTCGAGAAGATCGTGGCAAGATCAAATGCTGGGGACTCGATTCAACTCCATGATCAGCTAATCCTATCTTGCAAAATATTGCCCACCTAATATTAACCAGCCACGCTTACCCATTTGGTTTATTCCGTTTTGCAGTGAAATAAAATGACAGCATCTGAGGTAGTGTCGTGAAAGCACTAAAGAAGCAACACTTTCGACCACAAGTCCACAGAACATTGAACAAGCACCCTAAGCATCGCAACACCAGGGACTAGCCATACAGCAAAAACAGAGGAGTCGCCACAAAGATTCAACAGAGCCATGGTTTTATTAACATGAACATAATGAAATTGGATACAACATTGTACTACTGAGCTTCGAGGACGATTCTGAATTCCATCGATCAAGGAATTGAAAAAGAAAGAAATAGAGAGAGCCAATGCCATTAAACCAGTGAACTGGAAAAAGAGATTGTATTATGTATAATGCAGTTTTACAAGAGAAACCACATATATTCACATTTGCATCATAGCTGATAGATGAACATCTAGATCTTCAAGTGTAAGAATATGGTCGGCATCATTTCCAGCCCTCAAGATTTCCCCGCTGATGGCCCAGTTTTCGGGCAAAGTCGAGAAATTGTCACGGTTAGCCTCACCGACGAAGTCCTCTTCGAGGCAAAGAAATTCATCAGGATTAAACCCACATTCATGAAGGTCGCAGAGCATGAACTCCTCTACTGAGCTTCCACCACCGTTGGCCGAGTTTTCCGGCAAAGTCAAGAAACAGTCACTGCCACTGTCACCGCCACAGTTCTTGAATAGACTAAGAAATTCGTCAGGATCAAATGTGCATTCCTCAAGTTCGCAGACCATTGACTCGTCTCCCGAGATGGCCGAGTTTTCCGGCAAAGTCAACGTATTGTTGTGGTCACCGTCACCAACGCAGTCCCCAAACAGATTAAGAAAGTTGTCGGGATTAAATCCGCACCCCTCAAGATCAGAGCGCGTGGGGGCGAAGTCCACTCCCAAATTTCCGCCGGCTGCGGCTGACTTCTCCGGTGAAGTCCAGAAAGCGTGGCCATCACCATCGCAGAGGCAGTCCTCAAAGAGAGCCGGGCAACGAGCTTTAAAACCCTCCAAAACCAAATCTATCTCTTGATCGCTCAAATTTTCGGAATTACAACCAACCCCTGTTCCAGAATCGGCACCGGCACCAATGTTTACAGATGAATTCTTCACCAGATCTTCCAACCTTTTGCGCACAAGATCACGAGCTGCCTCATACTTCGCGATCAGGGACTCCATCTCCTCCTCGGTCACGCTAGATTCCCACTCTTTCTCAATCCACTCCAGCCACTCGGCCAGACCCATCGGCGGCGCCACGCCGCTACCGCCACAAATGTACTCCGATATTACCTCCTCAGCGGAGGGGTCGCCGAAGGAACAGAGCTTGCCGGCCGGGGAGAAGACAACGACGGCAACACGAGCGCCGCAGAGCGTGCAGAGATCAGAGGCCTTCTTGAAGAGGCCCTTGCGCCTTTTCGAGTACGTCACGAGCCGCTTGGCCGGATCGGCGATCTTGGCGATTTCTGTTCGCCGACGCTTACCCATTAACGATGTGTTTTCGCAAAATTACTTTCACTCAGAGAGAGAGAGAGAGAGAGAAAGAGAGAGAGCCGCACGGGTGCAAAGATTTGCAGGAAATTGTGGTTCTCTGAGAGAGAACTTTCGTGGGTTTCTTCTGGGGTTTCTCGGAGCGAGAGAGATGGTGGGTTTTTCTCTGAGGTTCCTTCGAGCGAGCTAGAGAGAGAGACAATCTGGGTGCAAAGATTTGCAAGAATCTGGGTTCTCTGAGAGAGAACTTTCGTGGGTTTCTTCTGGGGTTCCTTCGAGCGAGCTAGAGAGAGAGAGAATCTGGGTTCAAAGATTTGCAGGAATCTGGGTTCTCTGAGAGAGAACTTTCGTGGGTTTCTTCTGGGGTTCCTCGGTGGGTTTCTTCTGGGGTTTCTTCGAGCGAGCTAGAGAGAGAGAGAGAGAGAGAGAGAGAGAGAGATAGAGAAAGGGAGAGACGATGAAGTTCGAAGTTGCAGAGGAGGAGGGAGGAAGAAGCCAACGGGAAAATCTTCTTATATATAGGCATCGGTCCGTGGGAAAACTTTGCGAAATTCCGATATTTGGTCCTCATTAACTTTTGTAAATTTTCAGATTGGTCCCTCGAACATTTTATTTGTGTTGATTAAATACTCTAAGACTAAGTTTCCATAATTATTTGTGTAATTGGCGATTTTGTCCGACGGATTCCTTTTACCATTAACGAGGATAGGGAAAAAAATATTTAAGTTAGATAAGTAAAGACATCGGTTTGAATTATAAAAATTTAAGTTTTAAATTAGATAAGTATAGACATTACTTTAAATTATAAAAATTCAATTTAACATAAGACTAGGACAAAAAAGGGAAAAAAAATCACGATTAAACGATAGAAGCTCGTCATCACAAATTTTTCATTGAAGTTTCTTAAAAACGTGTTTGTCCGTTTGTTTACATTTATTCGATGATTTTTTTTTCTTTTTACTCTCTTCAAATACTTCCAAACAAAAAAGAAAACCTTTGAACAAAATATATTACAAGCTATATTATAAATAATTTCTTAAGTGGTTAGTATTTCGTGTTAAATGGTTATGATAGTTGAAACATTTGATTAAAGTAATAATTTTTTTGAAAATAGAGGACACTTTAAATAAAAATATAATACTACCCGATCAAAATATTTGCTCAAATGTATAAAATATAACAATGCATAAGACTAACAATGTCCTATGTTAGGCATCATCTAGTAAAACAACACGTAGACAAAACCACCTAAATCTCTAAACAACATGTGAAAGTAAATTTATATTAATAAACGTAAAAAGAAACAATGACCTCATCTTATTGGAATAAAAAAGAGTTGCATCATATAAATCAGTTCAGTTACAATCCAACAAAAAAAAAATCGACACTGCGAAAAAGGGGTGCTAGCCCAAAACAACTAAATAAAAGTAGAATTAATCATTATCTAATGTATATCGAGTCAAAGCTAGAATGTTGTGCAGGTTTCGTCAGCAGATGGTGGAGTAGACTGTACGAATTATAATGTAAAAATTGTGTAGAATTTGTAGCACGACCCGATATAAGTCTCATAAATTTTTGAAATGGGATTGATCTGATCTAATGATAAGGAAATTCACATGGACCGAAAAAAAAAATTAAACCCCATTAATAGGTATGATTTTACTGTTGTTGCGCCTCGAAAATTTATCCTTTCATGCGTGAAAATATTTTCAAGAAAATCGCTTTATTTTAAGCGAAAATAAAAATCCGAACATATTTTTGTACCCGAACCGGTTTCCACGTCGGATTACCGAGTCCGAGGAACGTGTACACATGGCTCATTTAACAAGAATTAGTTTCAGTTGCGGGTAAAACACTCATTCTTATTAGGGGTGAGCATGATGGACCGCTCGAACCGGGACCGAACCGGACCGGACCGGACTGGCCGGTTTGGTCCGGTTCTCGAGAGTATCGATCCGGTTCCCGGTTCCTAAAAGTGGAACCAGTTTCCGGGCGGTCCGGTTCCCGGTTCTAGGGTGGGAACCGGACCGGACCGGACCGATAAATATATATTTACTTTTTAAATTTTTTGAAGAAAAAAAGAAAGTCTAATCTATTCCCTCTTGCCTTTACCAATTTTTTTAAGGATTGGTTCCATTGGAAAATGAAATTGGTTCCATTGGAACGTGATTGGTTCTATTTGAAAATAGAAAAATAAATATATTTATTTATTTAAAATAGAAAGCCTAATTTAAAAGTACGTGATCGGTTCCATTGGAACCGGACCGGACCGATGGTCCGGTCCGGTCCTCGATCCTAGAAAATGGAAACCGGTCCTCCCGATCCGATTTCCGGTTCTTGGGTGGGACCGGACCGGACCAGGAACCATTCACCCCTAATTCTTATATAGTGGTATTGATGCACGACGATGAGAGGACACTTTTGATGTGGTGACCCAGACTTTCACCATTACCCACATTTTACCATTACGAATCTCAGTAATTACGACAAAATTACATTGTTGTGTTTTAATGGGTGCAGACATTATTCGTTAACAAGATCTTTGTGATATAATCAATAGGTCTTTCGCATTTGTCGAGATCATGCCTACACAAGCCCGAACACTCAGTATAACTATTTTTAGTTAATTGGCAAATTCCAAAAACGAGAAAACCGACCGTCGGATATCTTCTCTCCGTATCTCGTGCTTTCGACTTGAGCTCTTTGAGCTCGATGTTGTGCCCCCGTCTTCCGCTTCCATTGCTCTCGCCGCTCCGAAAATTTGCTTAAGCTATGGTTCAAGATCTCGATTTAGCTTGAGTGAGAAAAGTAGGGAGACCTATCAAAAAGGAAAGAGTAGAGAAACCTGAGTGCGGTTAAATTCCAGACGAACATGACTTGGCGCTTGTACGTCTAAAGAAATGAGGGAAACTCAATGCTAGATTTACATGGTTTGGCTTCTGGCGTACATCTATAGAAAAGCATGGACACAAATTCACTGTTGAAAAATGAAAGGGCTTAAGCAAAAATCATGGCGTTTCCGTGACATGCAGCTCGATGATGAAACCACAAGTAGCTGAGAGGAAGCTTTAGGTCTTGGACCTGGTGGAAGGCGCACTGATCTTTCCCTTCGGATTCCTCCTAAGCATTTTGGTAGCAGCTCTAGCAGCAAGCATGGTTCCAGCAAAGGTAGATCTTTCTTCAGGATGATTCCTGCGAGCTTTGAGCTTCAAGAAGAAAGTTCCCACACCCGAGGTGGCCGAGAAAAGCTGCCTCCTGAGTTCAGACCCTAAGGCGTGCCACTAGAAAGCCCTTCAGTGTCCAATTTTCCATGTCCGTGTTGCGTCGGAACAGATGTGCCTCTCTTCCCGTTACACCTGCATCCAACATGTCCCCCGCTGCTGTCACAACACCTGCTTCAGCAAGGATGCCTGGTGAAAGGCATTAAAATCCCAAGTGAGCCCCCCCGCTTCCTTTTCCTTTATGAAGTTTTTTTTATGGTAGGAGTCTCTAGTTCTGCTGCATTTCAGCAACTCTTGTCTTGGAACATCGTTTCTAGGGTCCTTGAGTACTCCTATGATTTAAGTTTGTCTTATATGGATCATCACGAGAATTGGATTATTGATGCGGAGTTGCATTTTCTTCATTGTTTCGACTAGAACTGACAGTGATGAGTTATTGGGTCATTTTGGTAAGTTATAGCTAATTAGAACGGATGCCAAAGTGGTTGACTATGCTTTTTGCAGAGAAGTTCACTTCATGCCACCATATCTAAGGTAACTGTAGGTTTCGGGACAAAATATGGTAATTGTTGAGATCTGCTTCTTTTGCTGCCCACGATTATGATATTTAAAATTTCGCTAGTGGTTTAGATGTATAGTCTTCACTTTACCGGTTTATGGTGAGCTTAAAAGTATGAGCACTCACGAAAATTAACCAAACGTATTTTATATCTGTCATTTATGGACAGATTTGGCTCTATATAACATCATTTCTTGGTAAATTAGATCAAATCGCTCCTACTCATGAGGAAGATGATGATGAAGAGATTCCTGAAGAGGAAGCAGTGTGCGCAGGATTTGTCTTGAAGTATGTCAGGAAGGAAATACATCGTAAGATGGAGTGCAGCTGCAAGGGTGCCCTTGAGACTTTTACATGAAGATTGTGCAATTAAATGGTTTAGCACAAAAGGAAACAAGGACTGTCGCGATTGCAGCCGAGAAGTTCGAAATTTACCCGTGACCTTGCGTTGAGTTGCAACCTCAGAGCTCAGCTTGCTAATGGACAAGAACAAAATCAACAGAGCTTGCATTCACAAACAGTGAGATTGGATTAGGCATTCAATGACACTCCTTCAAAACTTCTTGTCCTTATCTTTCTAACCGGTATCCATCATCTCATCTAGCTGGTGCAACTCCGAGCTTTCTTACTAGATCATGCCTTACTTTGCACAACTTAGTCAAGCACTCAAAGACTAAAGTAATTACCCAATCTGTGCAGTGCCCGACAGGATTTGTGGTGCTTGTTTTAATAAGCACAATATGATAGTCTTATAATCACATTTTCACGAGTTTGTGCTCGAGTATAATCTAGGTTATGTAGAGATAAAAGGAAAATTAAGCATTCTGTACCATCTGTTTCACTCAATCGAAGAGGTTATCTCATTCGCTCTTTGTAAGAGAAACCTGAACCAAATATTCCTTCTTTAACCCCCACCAAAATTGATAATATCATTTAACTATCTCTGTTCGTTTTGCACAGGAATGTTCATTCTATTTCTTCTTTTTTTCGCTAGATTCATCGTGACTTCAGATCTCAAGCGCCATTCTCTTTTATCAGGCTTCTTCATCAGGAGCACGGTTTACAGAAATCCAGATAGACTCGAAACAAAAACCGAAACACAGCTTATCGAACGCGAATGATCGAGAGAGCGTGCGGCGAGACGATGGAGCGGACGGCAGCGGGAAATGTCATTTCTACGGTTCCTCGAGTGACCGACTCCGATGAAGCGGGGAGTAGGAAATGGCACCTAAATACATATATCGCCGTAATTTCCGCGTAAAGCGGTTTCGCCCGCGAAAATTGGAGGGAAACTTTCAAATCCGGCGAAAGACGATAAGCCAAATCGAAGGAAAGCACCGGAATAGAGGGGAAAAGCACGTGAAACTTGCAAGCTCATCGGATCCCACAAAGTCCCAAATTGAAATTTTTTGGAAGCTTTCATGGATGTCGAGGTTGATGTCTCTCTCTCTCTTTGAACTGAACGCAAAGGAAGCCCTTCCCAAGACGCTTCCCACCCCATAAGTCGTGGAACACGGCAAGCAAGTAAGTTGGAAACGTATCCCCGTTGAAAACGTACGTGAAGAGTCCTTGTCTTAAACCCTCGTTCCAAACCATACCAAACCGGCAGATCAATTTGGTAGAAGACAATCGGGACTTTGCGACTCGAGAAGCTCGGGGTCTCGAATTCGATACGTCATTTGATCGATTCGATCTCGAGTTCGACTTACAAGGGGGTTTGCGCAATATTGTCCATGTCTAGTCATGAATGACTTGATTTTGGATGGATCGAGAAAGCACCGACTCTATGTAATGTCGGGATTCCTTTCCGATTCTAAATGGATCGTGTTTGAAACGGTACTTCCTTCCGCCTTTCCTTTTTGAGATCTATGAAACCAGAGATCTTGGAAGTGAAATTCTACCAGAACTGGCGGCTTGATTGGATGGAAGGGTCCAACCCACGTGTCCAAAGCAAACAGGGGGTCCTTCTCAAGCACACCTTGACATGACCAACCCCAAAAGCTTCAACCTCCTCCTCTCTCTATATATAAAGCCCCTATAGTCCTCTTCTTCTTTGTTACTTATGCATCGCCATTAGATTCTTCTAGAGAGAGAAAGAGAGAGAGAGAGAGATGGCCATGGCTGCTGCCTGCTGCCTCAGTCCCTCTCCTCCCACACCTCGCTCGAGCAACCCTTCTTCTTCTTCTACTTCTTCTACTTCTTCCATGGCTCCAAGAACGGTACAAGTCGCATGGTGAGTTCTAGTCATTTGCGCTTCGTTTTCTTCACCTTTTGTATCGGTACATGCAATTTGCCATTAAGGGGTCTCTTCATTTTCTTTTGCTTAGACGTATGATCGGATGTGATATTTGCAGGGGGAGGAACGAACAAGCGCAGCCGGGACGGCGGCCGGGCGCGGCGAGGGTGGCGATGATGGTGATCGGGCTGGTGGGGATGGGCAGCTCGTTCGTGGGACTCGGCGAGGTCACCGAAGCCGCCATGGCCAGCGAGTCGCTAGGGACGGCCGCACAACAAAAGGGCAAGGTCGCGACGATCGCGAGGTGGAGCGAGAAGCGGTCCTGCCCGCCCTGGCAGCTCAACTCCCTCGAGACCATCGTGCCGGAGAACCTCCCGAGGCCGTATGGGCACCGGAAGTCGGAATCGGTCGGGCTTTCTGATCACCAGGACGCGCCAGCCCTCAAGGCCAGGGCTGCCAAATCAAACCCCAGATGCTTCTCCATGTAACCCACATATAATTAGTACTCGAAACTCGTCTCGAGGATTCTTCGGTTCATGCGTATCGAACAATCGTCTCATCGATCTTTACCTAATCGAATCAATCGGGTATTGATCCTCCGAATGAAATATTCTCGCCTTCATGTCGGAAAAAATCTCCAATTATTTTTAACCACGAAATATCATAATCATTCTTGGAAACGGAAGAGGAACATAGATTTTTTTTTTTTTCTTGTTTTTTTTGGTGCGTTCAATGATATATCTAGCGAACGTTGTAGTACAAGGTGTACAAACGAAACCGTTGCTACATACAACACGTACTTTTGCTAGTTCCCCAGTTTCGTTTCAGTACAGTTGGTACGTTTCTTCTTCGTTTTTTCCAATTTAGTACAAGTTTTCCATTTTTCCTTTTCGAGAAAATCAGTACAGGGAGGTGGTCCAACGCCACGTGGCTGCTGCCCAGGTAGGGGCCCATGTGGGGCCCCCCGCATCTTTTCGAGGATTTGGACGAGCCTCGGGCCCATTCGCGCACGATCGGCCCAATGGGCCGTGCACGAGCGGCCCAATGGCGATCTCGAGTACCTGCCGATTGGGCTCGGCCCATCGACCCTGTTCCCTCCGCGGGTGGGCTTGGGTGAAGCTAGCTGGCCCCGACACTGGATCCCCCCGACTCGCTCTCTCGAAGACCCCGGCACGGTCTCGACTCGGGCCGCCCGCTGGTCACGGCGAACGAGCCTCGCTATCGCGTCGCGGCGGTCTGCTCGAGAACCAAGCGGGTCTTCTCTTGGTCCGGGGGGTTTTTTCTTTTCCGGTCCACCTGACCGATCGCGAAACGTCAAGTGCTATCGAAATAGTTTCATTAGAAGGAAAATAAGGGAGGAATTCACGACGCTTGATGCTGTAAGTAAGATAGGCATGTGTGCTGTTCTTAGATTGGAGTAAGGCCCCATTCACCAGCTACTCGAGCAGCATCAACAATCATGGACCCAATTTATGTACTCTGGACATTAACATCCGTTGAAGCATTGATGCACCCTTTGCCTAGTCACAACATATTTCGCATCGAGCTCCTATCGATCATGGAACAAAAGGCAGGAGCTCGATAGTTGTCCGGAGCATACTGATCGAAGATCGTAGTCTAGATCCCGGCACGGTATGATTGGAGGCTTCCACGAGCGCGCGCATCTGGCCGTGAGCTGGCTCTCCTTAAAAGGGAATTGCTTAATAAGGATTTGTTACGCGCGATATGCTAAGCTCGTAAATTGAGTACGGAATGAGCCTTGTCTATTAAGTAGAGCGACCTCAACTTGCTTGCTTCGAACGAAGACTGCACGGACTTTCTCTGGTCGGGGTCCTCAATTATACCATTTTTTAACCGGTTCTCTTTTGTTGTTGTTCTTAGCGTGGGATGCATATCTAGCACTTCATGTTAGTTTTTTCCTTCACAACCCCCTTGGGGCATTACCATAAGAGTCAAGCACACGATACGGAGTGCTCGGTTTGAGTTATAGCTAATTTCACTACTCGTTACTTGAAGGTTCTAAGTTGGCGAACTCGTCATTACAGCTCCATCGAAATACCAATGGTCAGAAATTCTCTCCACACGAGATACATCATAGTTAGGGACATAATATGAGTTGTTCAGACGTTCACTCACGGCGTGAATCGAACTCATTATCTCGCGAAAGACAAGTGACAAAATAATTTTTTTTTTAAACGAGTGTCTCGTGAGCACCTGTTAAGAAATTAGAAGAAACTTTAGAACTTTTAATGTACTGACGGTAGTGGTATTATGTAGAATTAACGTTCGTATAATAAGGCCTTGTTTGGTAGAAGGGACTTTTCGAGGAAATGAGTCTTGATTGTCGCTTTTTCCAGGCCCATTTCTCCCAAAAACAGCAAGAGAAATTTATCCTATCAAATTACGTTTATATGGCAGTATCCTATTTTTCCTCAAGAAAATATTTCAATGAGTTTATCCAAAAGCACTTTGAGAATGTCGAAACGGAAAAACCATCTCAAAAGTTTAAAAGTAAAATTATATAGCCGAAAGTGCATATTCAGAATATACACGTAATATCCTGAAATAATTCTTTTGAACTTCGCGTTCATTTTTTGCTTGATATAATTCCACACTTGTTTTTAATTTTCCTTCTTCCCTTTTCTACTTCGTTAATTACACTTTCCCTATAAGAAAAAATGAAATTCGACGGGCCATGGAAAATTTGGAGATACCGTTCCTATCTTAATTTCAACAACCCAGGCTTCTTAACACATGATAAAATTCCTGACTTTTGTACCCTGTTCATCAGAATTCTAATACAGATACAATTCCCTCCCCTTAAAAAAAAAAAAAAAGAGAGTCCACATAAGAACAAAAGTGCCGTGATTGTGGAAACAGGCAAAAGTCCACATAAGTCGAATCAAGCTGATACAATGTCAAGATCAAGCTCGAGTCGACTCACATGTTCAAGTGCTTGAAACTCGTCTTGCACTTGATCGAGGCTTAAATTTGCTACCCGAAAGCAGCTCAAATAAAATTGTTGAAATATTCAAGCTCGACTTGATCAAAGTGAAGTTAAAAATGAATCCAAACTTGAGCTGGAGCTAAATAAGCTCAAACCATCTTCATTTGCTTTTTATGTGGGAGTTCGCAGGTACATATGCTATATGTTATCGAACCGAGTATCAACAATTTCGAGCTGGACTCGACAATATACTTGAGTAACTCAACTCAAATCCAAGCACGTTGATTTCTGCCTGCTTTCGAGTAACTATCGAACCTAATCTTGACTTCTTGTGAACTGGTCGATTCGGTATGACCCCTACATGAAATCACCTGTTGGGTAGTTTCGGAATCTCTCCATTGTCTCCCTTTCGAGAACAAGAAGAGGAAAAAGATAGGTTGCCGAATCTCCGGACAGGTTGCTTTTCTTGAGCGTGACTCGCCTTTTGCGCAACTTGCAATGACGAAGGAGACTGCTTTTTCCGTCACGACACAGTGATGATGGAATCGAACGAAACTCCGAAAGCGCAACAGCAAAATGCAAGGAGACGTCGGCAAAGAAAACAGGCCCCCTTGAAGCCTGACAACGACCCACTACTAAGGCGCAGGCCACGGAAGAAACCCCCCAGCAATCATCACGACTCCGGGAGCCAGTGGACGACGACGAGGAAGACGCGATGGGTAAATCCAATCATGACCCTTTGATTAGTTGAAAAAATACGAAGTATATTCTCCCTCATGGGGGACTCCAGAAAATATTCCTCAGATCAAGCGGTGGGGCCTCGGCCTTCAAGAATCGCACGTTACCATCACGCCCTCATGATCACTCCCTCTGAATAACCACGAACCCTAACCCTAGGGGCTTGTCGTAGGCTAGGGTTCTGCACGTTCTCCATTAAAGCTAGCTGGAACAAGGAGCACCAGAAACCCTAGAGCTTCAGAAAACCCTAGAGCTTGTTCAACTTTGTCTGGAGATCTGCAGTTGCACCAGTGCTCCTGAGCTCTGTACATGTTTATGGCATCACGCATGTTGGTCTTAGAAGATTATTTTGCATCGCTTGCCTATACACTAAGGACTTAAGTTTCTTAGGTTGATTTTCCTCATATGATGTAAGTTAAACTTATATTTTGCTTCTTCATTCCCTAACTAACAGTTCATTTCATGTGTGGATTCAAACGTCATTTCTGGCCATTGATTCTATGTGCAAGATAAGTACTCCGCTTGCTTTTCTCCTTTCCATTCTAATTCTCACGGGAGAGAGGATTTTAGAGAATACCCCGCATCTTATGTACACAGTTATCATAACCTTATGCTTATGTTGGTCGTTGAGGTATGCCTGCGCATACGAGGCTAGTAAGCGAAAGAGTCCCACATGTGAGAATCAATGTGATGAGGAGCAATTAATGTAACTAATTGACTTAGCTTTCGAACGAAGATGAGCGCAACTGAATAATTCGATGATTTTGGACTTGAACTCCTCATTAGCGACCTTCTTAGACGAGGTACACACAAGAAGCTCGCAAATGAGGCAGAGATCATTGAGATACAAGTGGAAGAGTGTTAGGCGAAACAGTCTCACATAGAAGTTGTGTGGTGAAGAGCTTAAACTTGCTTTGAGATAAATTTAACTGGATATTATTAATGGGTATGGAATTGGGTTCACTCTCGGTAATCTCTTCAGGATGAAGTACCAGGCTTCCTTGTTTAAACTTTTGGGTGAGATGTCAAAAGAGTTAGAATTTGAAATTTAACTTTACACATCAATTTTTAGGAGAAAACCTGAGCATCGCAGAAGTAGGGATGACAAAATATCTACGTAAGGCATGGGACAGAGATATAGAGGAGGTGGAGATTGAGAACTTGCACGGTTGTGCAAGGACAAGTTGTCATCTTGACAAATCCCGCCTCATAAATATAGTGAATCAATATGAGGTTTTACGTTGACCTTCAAATTTTTTTTCCAAAGAGTCACATCAGACTTTAAAATACATTAAAAAGGTAACGTAGGATTCTTTGTTAGAGTACGTTGTTGGAGACAATTAAGTGATCATTTTTTCGCCGATGCTGTACTCAAGTGATTGTTCGAAAAGTTTTAACACTTTCATTGTCATTTTCCTAAGTTTTTACAATTCCGTGAGTTAACGGTTCTGTCACTTATAATACCCATTGGATGAGGCCCATTGCATCATAGTCCTTTCGAACATCTCTGATCCGACAGTGGGAACAATGACTTTAGGACATTGTTAATGGTATCATATATATTATCCAATGTCAGTATCATTTTGTAAAAGAAAACTAGCATGCATGCGCGATATATATAAAAAAAAAAGTGGACCCTGTCATCTTTAGAGTTTGTTTGATTCACGGAAAATAAATTATTTGGAAAATATTTTTCTAAAATTTATCTCTCGTATCGCATACAAATATGCTTAAGGTTCTGTTTGTTTCATAAAAAATTAACAATTTAAAAAATATTTTCCTAAAAATGATTGCTTATATCGCTTGAAATAATCAGTCAATTGAAATATTTTTATTATCAATAACAATTTATGTCTAA